TAAAAAAGAATATTTGGACGGACATGATAATTTACAGTTTTTTACTATGTAAAATCTGAATTTTCTTTAAAATAAAAAACATCTATATTGATTCTGACTTTTCTACATCCAACTCACAGGTTTATCATTACTTTGAGAATAAAGATTATTAATTTAACCCTTTTAGAAGGGAAGATATGGTCATTTGTTCTGGGAATGTCATTTTTGAGCCTGAGACCTGAAAAACAGGCTCAGGGCTTAAGAGGTTAATATTATGGTGTGCATTAACTATTTAGCTGGGAAACCACACTATTGCCCTTTTGAGGAGTGTTGTAACTTTGTGGCTATAAAATAACTATGTGTTGCCTATGTCTTTAAAATGTCTTTAAATAGTAATCTAGGTTGTGGTCGATGGATCCATCAAATATTCTATTTAATTATATTATCTATTATTATTATTTATCTCTAGATGTGCCCATAGTAGGTTTTGACTTATTTTCAATATGTAACTAATATTGATAGAAAATAAGAAAGGTACTACTGTTGTTATAACTTTGAACTCAAAGCAGAGTTCACGACTTGTTGAACTCCAATCCCAAAACAGGGACTTCGTTCCAACTCTCATGACTGTTCTGAAAAAAAGGTGTATCCCTGCTGTTTAGATTTGGAAATGAGATGACTTTCCGTCTCTTTTGCCAGCGCTTTGTCAACAGCAGAGTCTGTTCAGTGACTTTCTGAGACCAAAAGGGGCCTGGTCGGAAAGAGCTTACATCTGTTACTAGGATGAACCTGTCCACTCCTGCTTAAGCGTGTAAAACTGAGTAAAAACTTTGTTCCTGATGACTCCCAGTGTGTGCAGGTATAATGCAAAAGTCCTTGGTTCTTCCCTTGACAGTGAATCTAACCAAAGGTTTCTCACACAGCTTGTGGTTAGTGTGTCCTTTGCAACTGCATGCAGTCGTTTTGAGGGATGGAATGTTTCTCCATAACAAGTGGCTATAATCAACAGCAACGTGACTTCTTTTAAAACAGTCTTGTGTGTCGCATAAGGTAGTTTTAACTGTAGCTGTTTGCAATAAAAAAAGCTCTATAAACACATTGTGCTCAACCTGCTCTGCACAAAACAGCTGACATGCAAAATAACAACTATAGAACATAGTGGAGGCTTTAGCATGTTAACACCTTAATATTTTCAAAGAAGAAAAAAATATCCAAAAGAACGGTTTAATATGGATTATGGCAGGCAGAGAATTTTATGAATATGTTAATAAGCTAGTTTTTTACATTTTACATGCACAAAAACCTAAATAACACACTACAGGAAAGGTAAAAGCCCCAAAAAGCATATTAGGGCCCCTCTAAGCCTTGGTTCACTTTTTTTCAAATAGTATGCATCTTTTTAAAATCTAAAAGGGTACTACATGTAACAACATAAATGTACTAATCGCTTTGTACAGCCAATTTGTGAACAGTTTAACTTGACCTAAAAATGTAGATCTTCCCAAACATTCTTGTTTGCCTATAGCCATGGAATGATTTATATCTAAAGGATATTGAATGATTTAACCTTAAAAACTTCAAAAGTAAATTACATTTACAGTATATCAGCTCCTAAGTGTCTTAGGCAGACTAGACACTTGCAGAGGAGACGCTAACCGTTCCTGCCATGGCGCTGTTTAAGCTATCTGGAGTCATGCTAGCAGCACCACACATAGCTGCTTTGTGCTTCACATATTTTATTATGCTATGATATATGTTGGCCACTGTTATACGGGTAGCAGAATGAACAAAACACACCTAGACGTATTGTTTTCTGGAGTAATACTTTCAGGTATTTTTTTCAATTTACTGCCAAACCTATATAATATATTGGGAATAAATGCCTGTGTCATTTTTATTAATGTAAGATAGAATGAAAAAGAATGCGATACATGAGCCGCTCTCCCAGGTGACGTATCAATCAGACTTTGGTGTTATGTCTGGGTCAAACTGGGGGACAGGGGTGTTAACGTGTGCCCCAGCTCCTTCATGTACCACAATAGGGATTCAGCTGAGACCTGATGAAATCTGAATCTCCAGCTAATAGGACGTAGGTGGATGTCATACATACTTATATGGTGGGGTGGGGGCTAGGAGAACAGAGGAAGAGTGATTCCTTTAGTCGGAGTCAGGAGGACGTCTATAAAGAAGGTCACACACAAGGGTGCTTTGTCCAAACACAGCTGTCCAACTCGTGTGCATACACATGTTGTACACACACACACACACACACACACACACACACACACACACACACACACACACACACACACACACACACACACACACACACACACACACACACACACACACACACACACACACACACACACACACACACACACAGTCGGCCCAGACACTAGGGGTTTTTAAATCCTCACTAAAGACTCACTTCTTCTCTCTGGCCTTCTAGTCAGAGCGGAGCATGACACCTGACTATTCCCTGTGTTTTTGTTTTTTATATTTCTGTTGTCAATTATTGTCTTTTATTGTGATTGTAGTAAAGTGTTTTTATTACATGTACAGCACTTTGGCTCTACCAAAAATCGTTTTTAAATGTGCTATATAAATAAAACTTGATTTGATTTGATAGAGAACTGTAGCGGATACAACACGTTTCGTCTCCGCGTGGACGGGGCCTTACAGTAAAGCACAGTTTTTCTGGTAATTTCTACTTGTGTGTAATTTTCACTTCCAGCACATTCCTTCTATTTCAGAAAGCTCTGCTGAGCCTTATGAAATGGGACTGTGACAAAGAAATCTGGACAAGCTAAAAGAAAAACATAGGGATTAAGGGTGATAACAAAGGTTAGTGTTTCTATGAGAGAAAAGATTGAGTTCAAAGTTTTGAAACCTTTGCTGAGCTTTGTGATGAGGGTGTAGACGCAATGAGATTAAGGGATGATTCATTCTGCCTGGAGAACAGAGCAGCAGACAACACCTGCTGATTATTCAACAAGAGCAGCGGCTGGAGGAAATCAAACACGTACCATTCTCCTTCAGTATTTTTAAATGTTGGATAAAAGAATCCCTCTGTACTTCTTCTGTTTATTTATGATGAATCAATCTGGACTCTTATAGTTTAGTTTCTTAGAAAACTAAACAAGAATATTACTTGAAAGGCTGCAGAGCTGTAATCATTCATTCAATCTCTGAGCCCATAATTACTTATTTTCCGCCAATCTGGCTCCTTTGGGGAAAAAGCTTCACTGTTCCCTGTAGTTGAGAAGCCACCCGGTTATTAGAGTCATGGCTTCCTGTTGCCAGCTGGAGGGGGCCCAGACCCAGGCTCCTGCTGCTGGACTCTGGCTCTCTGGGTTAGGACGGGTCTTAACCAGGCCCATGTGTGTGTGGCTTCATGGCACACAGGGACCCACAGATATAGAGATATGCCCGCACGCATGCAAGGCTAGGGTATACAAAAGTCTCATTAAGGACAAGACTGCAATAAACACGAGCCCCGAAGGGAAGCAGTATGACTCATTAACTGCAGCTCAGAGAGGAGGAACAGATAAGATCAGCGAATGAAAACCAAACGAATGGCAATATGGAATATTAAACACGTACTGTGCCCCCGACAAGCCAAAACTAACCCCTCACTCTAATAGCATGTCTACTAGTCTGAGTATAAATCCCCTTGGGGAATATATGGTGAGATACGTTCTTTGGACTGGGACAAATGGAGTCACAGCTTCTTTATTAAAGGGGCCCTATACTCATTTTCAGGTTCATATTTGTATGTTGTGCCTCTATTGTGACATGTTTACATGCTTAAATGTTCAAAAAGCTCTTTATTTTTCTCATACTGCCTGTGCTGCAGCACCTCTTTTCACCCTCTATCTGACACCAGAGTCCAGTCTGCTCAGATTGGTTAGCTGGCTGGCTCTGTTCTGATTGGTCAACGGCCTAGAGATGCGTACAATGTTTTGGAACGCTAGCCAAAAGAAGCACAATTGTTACATAGTGATGTCACTATGTTACATAAGTTAACAATGGAGTCTAATACGTACTGTATCATGTCTGTATCACCTTTTGTTTCATTTGTATTTTCTTTGGTTTTACACGCTCGAAAAAAATAAAAATAAACTAAACTAAAAAACTAAAACCTTTCAAGCTAGCCTTTACAGACCATGCACACAAATCGATATAACGCACTCCAGGATAGGGCATAGCACAACAGGGCCCCTTTAAACCAGATATATCCTACTATCCAAGGAAGCTTCTGTGCTTAAATGATCAATCATATTGCATTCAGAACAAGAATGGCACTTGGAGAGAGACCACCCACCGCCAAAGCCTGTGTTGCATTGACATGTTCCTCGGATGGTCCCACTTACCGAGGGAAGTCGTTTGTTTTGACTTCAATGTGTTCATTAGATTTACTGTAAGTCGTAATGTGGAAACAACAAGGATGAAACAAAGAAGTTCAGGCGGGTTGTTTTTCTGTAACCAATTCCGAAAACATAACGTCATGGCGGTGGTAGCAATCATGTATTACATTAAATATGAAAACCAAGAAGCTAATTGGATTACGTAAAAACTCAATTAGCTGAGTTTCTGTGGACAAGCAAGCAATTCAAATCACTGGGGACAGTTTAAAAATGGATATTGTTATGTAACTAAGACTCAAAAACATAGGATTGTCCATTCCAGTTGCGGACCCAGTGGTTGGATAGCTGTACTCTCAGTGCCACTATAATCAAAAGCACTTTTCAATAAGCTTAAGTTTCCATTCATCCAGTAGGCAGAGTTTTGATTGACATTGCTTAGCAACCAGAACTTAGTTCAAAGGAGGTAAAACTGACTCATCCGCTGAAGCTCCAGACGCCTGAATCCTTCAAGATCACTGCACGCAGCAACTCTGCTAAACTGCTTGAAATATTTATTTTAACAGCTCCATATGCTGTTTGCATGAAGATGACAATAGCAGACTGCAAAAAGGAAGCGGGCAGATGGTTCACTGACGGCTATTATTATCATACCTGTCTGACACAGCCTTCATAAATTCATCCAGCAGGTCATCATACGCCCGGCCTCGCACTCTCTTATGTCTCAGGCCAATGTAGAGAGGGTCCTTCAGCAGCACCTGCAGAAACACATGGAGGTGAAGGAGAGAAGGTGAAAGGAAAGAATATGAGACATCTAAGCTTTAATATTTTTCTTTTTACATACAGTAGTACACCCCAAGTACGGAAGGGCCAAGCATAAAGGGGAAAATAAGGAGGACCTTTTTTTGATTTTCTAGAATAAAGTTGAATTATTAAGTGTGAAATTGAAATACCATTTGAATAATAAAGTTTAAATTAATTAAATTCCGTTGGTCCTTTAAATCAAGTAAGGAGAGCAACCGACGCGCCCTGTTGAGTGTAAATCCTTAAATTTGTGTGGTCACTCCTTGTGAATAGAAGCAATTTTTAAAACCACACTGTGTCTATTCCAAACAAATAAATGACTTCATTGTTTATTAAAAGAGATCCTTAAGTACAGTTTCTCTTAAAGGCTGCCTTAAGCGCGAGAAGTTTTATTTTATTTTCAAAATTTGAATTTATTATCAATGCACACAATTAAATGCTTTTATTTGTCCTTGTTGGCCCTGGCCCTTAGAGCTTTTTGGTTTTAAAGGAGTTCCCCTTATAAAACATTGACTCGTAGAAGGTCTGTAATGTGATGCAAGTCAACTGTAAACAGTACACTCTTTGTAAAACTGTGAGCCCTTACATGAATTAAGACTTTAATAAGAACCTTTGTGTTATTTAATTAAAATACTTCTATTCTGGAAAATAACTAAAATATGAGTAGGAAATTGAAGACCTGTAAATTCAAGGGTTTCCAAAAGGTCTGTAGGCTACACTGCACTCCAACTATTTAGGATTGCATTTCCATAAAGTTGGGGGGCTTTAAAGAGACTAGTAAATCTTTATAACAGAAGTGAAAATATCCTGATCTAGTATGTGCCAAGAACCAAAACACAGGATCCTATACTTCCCAAAATGCAAATGTACAGTTTTAGTGAGTGTAAAAACATTTTATAGGATGAAACATCAGGGGAATAAAAAAATTACAAGGTAATATTGAGTGCAGTATTTCAATAAAAAGTAAATAAAAACCTGAAGTATAAAGTCAGGGAATATGTGAGACTATGTATGTGAATTATGCCCAGTACATGTGCTGTGCCTGTGTGTGAAAATAAAAGAGAGAGGAGAGATATTACAGTGTGTGAGCACACCCTCACACACACAGACACATGTGTAGACCTCAGACCTCTGCCATGTGTGTGTGTACTACAGCGCTGAGAGACACCTCCTGTCACGTCAGTTCACACACACATCTGCAGATACATCTCCATGCCCACGGAATTCTAACCAAACTAAAATAATTAACATTTTGGACATTTTCAAGTAAATACTATTATAGCCAGACATGATTTTTCATAATAAATACCATGGTAGTCCATTAAATGGTAGTTGAGATGCCCAAAAAAATAGTTTTGTCAGCTTCATCATAGTGCTAGAGGAAAAGTGAGTGGTTATCACTAACATTTAAGGATTATTTACAGTGGATGATGAATGTCTTTACAAACTTGTGTGGCAATCCATCAAGTACTGTCAATGTTTAAACACTTAAATTAATTACAACTTAAACTTCCTGGTGGATGTTTAGGAGAAGGTCAGATGATAGCTAAAGTAAGGTTCATCCTCTGAGAACAATGAATGTTGGAATAATATTTATGACAATCCATCCATTACTTGTTGAGATATTTCTGTCTGTACGAAAGTAGTCATTCTCTGGTCTTTCTCCGAAATGATTTTAAGTTTTTTGTTAGAATTTCTTTATTTTGAACAACTCAAGGTAATAGTTTGGCTTATGCAAAACGTATTGCTAACTGCACTGACGTGAGAACAGAAGAAAGACTTAGCCAATGTTCAAAAAGCTCCTGGAGTAGAATACATTAGAGTGAAGAATGTAAATATGGGACATGTGTGTGTATAGAAGCCATAGGGAACAAGGCTTTACAGATATCCAAATGAAGAGTGTGAAGGAGATGAAAGAGCAGCAGTAGTGAACTTTGACCTTTTGCACCTTCATATTTGGAAGAATGAGAGCGATTCAGCGGGGACAGGAGAACATGAAGAACAGAGGTTGATGGGAAGCCATGTGTGTGACAGAGACACATGGAAAATGAAAGAGTGAGAATGGGATGAATTACATGGAAGACGCCACCTTGCAGTGAATGATTGCTTGCAGACTTTGCTTTCGTCTATCAGCACATATTTAATCAGATCTTTAAAATGATGCACCTTCCAGAACAAGCTGTAGGTTCTCACCCTAGACAGTCTTTTAAATCTCAACTTTGTCTTCCAGGGTTTTTCAATTCCAAGACGTCGGGAACTGCTCCAGTGCGTTGCCATGCCCCATTGGGACAGGCGACCTTTACTTCTGGAGATGGATAATTAGAGGGTGCCACTAAGATGAGCGCGGCAGCCTCCTTTCCATGGCAGGGTCAAGACTCGCCATATCCAAGAACAGCTCAGAACGTTTATATAAGGCAATATTTATTTGAAGTTGACAACTCATTTCCTGGCAAGCTCCAAATGGACAGTAATAGGCTCGGGGTGGCCAAGTTAAACAGTAACCAAAACAAGCAAAAAATGTTCATGTGATCCCGCTGAGAGGTGGGGTGATATCAGGGAGCGCTTCTGGTGGTCATTTCTCAAGATGATGCAAGAGCATGCAAGGGGAATGATACAAATAGATATCAAATTAAAAAAAAATAGGTTAATTTCTCATTTGGAGTTTCGACTCATGTGTCTATTAAGTTCGATGGTGACTTTATGTGCCATTATTCAGTTGAGTTACATACTGACAAAACTGCCTTTGAACCTTTGACCCAACAACCCACTGGCAGATTTGAAAGGCATGTTAACTAAAAAAAAGGCCAATGTTACATTCTTTATTATAGCCAGAAACTGTAAAAAACACAAGTTTATCCTTGGATGTTCTGACAGTTTTTGAAAAGAATTCTGCGCTCCTTTGTACAACTGGGATGCCATGACTGACTCGACTTAGACCATAACTTAGTGAAATTTTGATTGAACTGCAGGCTACTTACTGTACTGCAATGAAAACCCCATTTGGAAATCCCATTTTGTTCAATATTAGCAACATTTGTAAAGAGTTTTTGTAAGTATATTTACTTTGTAAGCATTCCAACTCAATGCTTTATTTTTTCCCAGATTTTTGCCACTTTAACAATTTAAACTGCAAAAAATCACATTTAATTTCTTTCGACTTCTTGCCATGATTGTGCTGTTCCTATAGAGATACAGGACTTACATATTGCAGAGCTAACAAGGCCATCAAAATGTGACAGGAGCAAAAAGCGCCCTGAAACTGGGGTTCATAGGTGGAATAGAAGAAACTGCATCATAAGAGACTCGTATAGACCTCAGTGACACTGTGCTGAACTGTTGACACGAGTTGTCTCTCTGTCCCAGATTACCCTCTGTTGATTGGTTAAGCTGTCCTTTGTGTTGTTCAGCCCTTTTCTCTCAGAAGTGTATGGCTCTACAGACACAGAAGCTCCGTATTCACTGTTGCAACTGTCTCCAAACTGATGACTGTCGGACTGCAGAAAATAATATAAAGTTATATTTGACTGCTTTGTTGTGCTGGACTTTTAATGAGGATGTTTAATTAGTATAGCATGCAGCGTCAGTATTAAAAAGGGGACTGTTACAGTACATTTATGAAGACATTTTTGAAAGACCAGGGATCTAGAACAGTGTGAACCCGTCTGAGGTAAAGGACACTGTGCATTGGACATGTGAAAGCCCACCCACTACAGATGCACAAACAACAAATTGTCCAGGATGACATCATTGAATCACATTTCAACAAGAGAGTGTTTGTTGAGGTTATGCCAGGTGATATCAAGTCCAGGGATACACTGACAGATACTGTACAGGAAGATTACATGACGTGAAAACTGAACTCCCTGAGTTTTAGAGACTCTTCTACTGCTGATTTGTCGGTATATATTGTGTGTTTTGTGCAGGATAGCTGTCCAGGTAGTGATATGTTATTGCTGGTTCTCACACAAGATAACAGTTTCCACATTCCTTTGCCAAAAAATAACAGACAATCACATGGTGGATCACTTTCTATATAGCTAAAACAGAGCTACTCATGATCGGATAAAACATTAAGGAGTAGCTTGACAATGTGTGAAATATGCTAATTCATTTTCCTGCAAAGAGTTATATGGGAAAAGCAAATAAATGTATTTCTAAAAATGTTAAACTATTTATAAGGGATAAAAAACAAAGTATGTCTTGGTAAGAGGGTCTGCATGCTCCACTGTTTGGACGTCAGCCTGCCCGCCTCTGTCTACCCCCATATCAACTCAAGGACAAATATAATCCCTTAATAACGGTCATTTTAATAATTAGCTTGGGCTACCACTACCTCATAACCTCTCAATGCTCCCATCATGCCTTCACAGTCAAAGTGAGGCGAGGTACTGAGGGGCAGCAGGCTAGAATGCCTCCCATATGAATTCAGAAGAACCTCACATAATAAACACACACAGTCTATTTGCCCCATTACAAATCATTTAGCCTGTCATCTCTTTATAATAATTGAAAAGTTGGCTAGAGTCAAGCAATTTTACAATTAAATCTCTTTTAAATTATTTCCTTAAAAAAAATATAAAGGCAGCAATACAACTGCATGTGTGTGTCATCGCTTTCGGGCAAATTTCTCACTGTGTATATGATTTCTGTCAAGGACTGATCGACGTCTAGTAAATGGGAAACATATCTCCTTCTTTCCAAGAGTTTAGAAGCTCCATACACATAAGGTCTCAAGTCTAGTAAACTCTAAAAGAAGATATGGAATGGATGAAGAGTCTGTAGTCAATGGGACAAGGTTTTAGTATTCAAAGGGTTCTGGTTTCCATTTGTATTTTGAGTAGTATCAACCAATCACATTTCGATGGGCTTTGGTTGCTTGAAGGTGAACCGATTAGAGGTGGAACACATTGGCCGAAATGCAATCTCAGAACCCTTAGCTAGTGCTTGACGGTGATTTTGCTTTTCATTAGCTAACAACAAACTGGCAAAATATCTTAATAGGCTAACATTGGCTAACATGAGCAAGCACGCTCAGAATGGTCAAGGTTGGATTGTCCTATAATAGGGGCACACACACACACAAAGCCCTGCCTGCACCAAGCATACATGTAGCGACTTGTTACTGGAAAGTATCATTACTTACTGACCCAAACTACACATGTCTGCATTAAGCACAGGGATAGAAGGAGAGTTTTCTTGAAACAGAACACTTAATCAGTCATCTTTGGCTAGTTTGTGAGTTACAAGGTTCTGCCGATGATTAAACGATTTACAATGTGTTCTTTATTAGGTTGAGTCAAGAACCGACATTTGAGCTTCGGACAGAACCACGCTAGCGGATTGTCCTGCTATGCTAGGCTAATCTCTACTCAATTAATCCATGTATGCTGAAATATTCCGATGACTAACTGTTTTTTAAGTTGTTAAGTACAATAGTGCAAATTCACCGCATCAGACTCCACAAGCTCTGCATCAATGTTCACACACACACACACACACACACACACACACACACACACACACACACACACACACACACACACACACACACACACACACACACACACACACACACACACACACACACACACACACACACACACACACACACACACACACACACACACACACACACACACACACACACACACACACACACACACACACACACACACACACACACACACACACACTCTCTATTTCCTGTTTTGGCATCAGATTCTAGGCAGATTGAGACCATAGGACCAATTCAAGCCATGAGACAGCTTGTTAAAGTTGTGCTGCTATTATGCTATGCTCATAATTGTCCAAAACTGCTGTCGTGGACCCAAAAAATCGCAGCTGCGGATGATATGACCTTAAACCAGAACTTATGAACTCAAAGTGGGAATGCATAGAGGTGCCAGTACAGGAAGAGGTCAAAAGGCAGAGCTACATACTGTAAGTCTATAAAGATAAAGAGCTGAGGTGGAGGAATTGGCAGAATGAGAGGCCATTTTGCTCTCCAGTTACAATGGCACCAAGAGGATTAATGCAGCAATGTAATATACTTTATAGGGTTTCTGGTAAATCTGCAGTATTACTGTTGTTATAATTTCAAAAGAAGTTCGGCTGGGAAAACTTTGATGAGCTGTCTGGAAAGAGCTGCCACAGAGGGACATAAGGCCATGGAGGGTTAGGGTTGCACTGGCATGCAATCAGTGGGTTTCTCCCTTTCTTGGTCTCTCTTCAATCTAACAAATATTACTTTTTAGTTTTTCTAATTGTATTTGCACTCATCTATTCCCAGCAACATATGTCATCCCTAATCTTTCTGAGACATCTTCTCGGATTGAAACCAAACTCTTGGGCCTGAGTCATGTGAGGACAGTCTTGGAAGATAAAGGACAGAAACTGACAGGCTGTGCAGCGACTAAGTCTGCCACACCCTTGGCTGACGCTGAGAGTTTTGTATATATAGATGTGCACACGGACTATTCTTAGTCTGTTTCAGGCTTCAGACACAAGTGCTGCCCTGCCCAGAGTTTTAATCATCTTTCAGAGACTCTGCCATAGCGAACAGGGAGCATAGGTGGGTAACTCTCTGTTGGTTGCTACTCTTGCTGGCAGAGGGGAGAGGTGTTTTCCCAGCTGGCATCCATCAACGGAGCTGCTTACATCACTAATATAAAGGGTGTTTCCCTGTGGTAAAGTGTGAGATTTGTTTTCTTTTTCTTGGCTGATTTCTGAGGTCAGACCTACCTGGCTACGTTGAATTTCCCTACTGGCATACATCATAATGTACTCTGGCAGCAATATTCTGAGTGTAAGGGTCTGGGGCAGTTGAGTTAAGAGGTGAGCAGGAAGACTAAGCACACTTTATCCTTACTCCTTGGGGCTATAATGACTTAATTTATCCACAGGGATGACTAGAGTTTATTTTATTTATTATAATCAATGTAATCCACCTTGAGTTGAGAAAGACACTTTACTAGCCCCTGCTGCTCTAGAGGCCACTTTATCTCTGGCCTATATGTGGGTAGTGAAGAATAATAAAACATGTTTCCATTGCAGTCTTAGTTTTTAGTCTATGACTAATGTTTAGGAATGATGGACTGATCTGGGAGTGTGGTCGTCTTTCAATCCGAAGGTTGTGGGTGCGATCCAAGCCCTTGCAGTCAACATGTCGATGCAAGATACTTAACCTCAAGTTACTTCCAATGGCGTGGCCAGCGGTGTGTGAATTAAGTTAGCAGGTTGTTGGTAACTTATAGTTATTTGTTGCAAATCCTGGGAGGTGTAATGCTTAAGGACAACCGTTTTTTACCCGTTACCTCTTGTTACTTAAGTTGTAAGATTGCTATTTGACAACTGTTACCATGCTTACATGCTCACCTCAGATAATAAACAATGTATACATTAAACCCGGTTAAATATCATCATGTTAGCATTGTCATGATTAGCATGTTCGCGTGGAGACGTAAGCATTTAGCTTAAAGCAGTTGTCTGCCTAACTACAGCCTTACAGCACTGCATGATGTACGACTAGTTATTTATCTTGAAACAGATTATAATGAGTAGATCATATCTCATCATGTGTTTATTGAAAGGCTGTGAAGAAGTATATAAATACAAGGTCTCAAAAATAACAATAATTTACGTTATACTTGGGTCGAGTAAATGATTAGATACTACTTTCTACCACTGATGTATGTATTGTAAAAATAACATTTTATAATTAAAAGGACATTCGGAAAGTGCAACAAGGCAACAAGGCGGTTTCCGTAAGTGAAAAATAATGTGTGTGTTAACCCTGTGATTTGGGTCTGCTCCAACTAATTGTTTCTTTCTTGGCCCATGCTACACCCTTTACCCTTTGAGTAGTATTTCCGTAATCTTGCTGACAAACAAACCAACAATCCACCCAACCAACCTACATCATAAAATCCGTTGCTTATTGTTCTGTGAATGGTCCGTTAGACCTCAGCTCTTACCTCATTGTCTGTGCCCACATCCAGCATGATAGGCAGGCACTGCTGGGGCGGCACACCTCCACAGGCTGTGTACAGGGCCAGCTTTCCCACTGGGATCCCCATACCACAGCAGCCCAGGTCCCCCAGCCCCAGGATCCTCTCTCCGTCCGTCACACACACCGCCTGCAAATCAACATTACCGTCAGCCATAAACAATAAAGTACTGCAGCAGCCACAGTAACCATTTTGTCCATTTAAATCCTTGTGCTACATATTCCTAAATTAGATTTAATGTCTCTTTTATACACAATTTAATGAGGAACTAAATGAAGCAGCAGTTCTGCCGCTATGTCTCATGAAGTCAAACCTTCCTCACCAAAACAAATCCACCCTGCTACCCAGAAACACATTTTCTTCCTCAGTGTAAGCCAGGCCCTCCTACACTCTGCTGGCTTTCCACTCACTTTAATCATTAGGCAAGAAGAACGTTCCTGTAGGTTGATTCCACAGCATGAAACAAATCGATTGTGCAACATTTAATATCCCCAGCAGAAGTGTTTAATTTGAAATGTTCCAAATTCTTAACGTTTTTATTTTTCCACCATATGTGTGATGCAGAATACCCTGGCACAGCCTTTAAAGCCTGTTTTTTTACCAGAATCTGACAGGTTTAAAGCCTAGAATGTCATTAGTGTCACTTATGTGACTGAGGCTGCTCAACCTATTAATGGATGACTACCAATGTTCCTTCTCTCTATGGATAAGGTAAAAGTAGGCCATATTGGATGAGTTTACGATAAGACCACCCTGACAATGAGATCCCAGCTAAATGCCATGCTGTTGACAGCTGCGAACAGGTGGCTGAGGCTGCAGGTATATTTGACATGCCAGGAATGCATACTAGTTTCGTCATTATAAATATGACGAGATTATGACTTGCACATAGTTGCTCTATACAGAAGATAAAGGGAATAATTCAGGCTTTTGGGAAATTGGCCAATGCAGCAGGTCAAGAGAACCAATAATGAAATCATCCACAGGTATACAATGGACTAGATTTACTGTAGTCATTATTGTTTGAGATAGTATGAGATGACTAACCTTTAAATAAAGAAAACACTGATCACAAATTAGCCCAAAAGCTAATGCTAACTATTAAGTAATCACTTTTCCCTCCCTATTTTCAATAGGCTTTGTATCAATGCAATGAATTTGGGGATTTAGGTTTGCAAATGCACAATGTACGGCTCTTCTCCATGTAACCATCGCTGCTCAACTGCCAGCAATAGTCTGCATTTTGCATCCTTCACAGTCCCTCCGTTGACGCAAAATAAAGCATTTTGCTACACTAGCCGGACAACTCCCCACTAAGCAGTGAACAATAACACAGAGAGAAGCCTCACATTGATGCATTGTACAAAGCAAGTAGTCCTCATATTTTACATTGAATTTCAAAACAATTCAAAAAACAATACAAAGCAAGCATGTACACAGAGAACAACATGTTGTAAAGGATCATGTTAACTGTGGCCATCCGTCACTGAAGATAATTCTTTAAGGCAGTTAAGGTTATCTTCTCTGGAAGTCCATAGAGCTAATCTTTGTCCTTTAACATCATAGTAACATGTGTGTTATTGTTTTGTGCTGTATGTTTTGTGCACTTTAAAAAAAAAAAGTGTGTTGCTTCCATTTTGTTTTCTCCATTTGTCGATTCTGTTTTGTCCAAGTAGTTTATATTCAATATGTTTGATTTGCCAGCATACAAATCCAAAAAAGCACAAATAACAGGAATTATGACTCTTGGTGCAATTGTACAGAATATGATTCATTTGCCATGGGTTTTGAAACGAGTGAACAACATGAATATCAAATACTGCTATAAGACTTCATGGCAGGTTTTTGAGTGATGTTATTTACCCTGACGTCCTTTTCTGGCCAGTTCTGGAGTACTGTTGAAATGTGGCCTCTGTCATGAATAGTAATGAAGAGCCCCCTGGAACATAGGGAAACAAATAAAAGAAAGAAAGTTAAAAGAAAAATAACATAGAACTATTGCATATTCAAAAGGCATCTCAGTGTGCACTGGAACGTGTTCTATACTTTCTAACTCCCCAAGTTTTATTCCATGCTAGATTTTATCAAGTAATATGTCACTTAAATCGTTCCAATACAAATGGCAGCATAAGAACTAAAATAACACGTGAACACTTTGTACTTATAAAAACGTCTTATCTGAGATTCGAGGGAACAACAGCTTGAAGCTAAGAGACGTTTGAAGTAAAGCTGCTTTTTCCATTCTGCCTTTCTTTCTTCTGACCAAGACTTTCTTCAATTCTGACGGCACCTGGGACTTTAATGTTGAGCCCGGATCCCAGGGCCTCTGCAGGGAGTTTACTTTGGACCCTTGAGGCTCCCCAAATATTCATTTATCTTTGTATCACCCCTCCCACCAACCCTTCATCCTTCCTTTCCTCGCTCCCTTGCATCAGTGTCATCCGAGTCTTTCCTACCCTACACCCATCTGGTTATAGTATGGGGGGGCATCCCCTCCTCCGTGACAGTAAAAACATCACTCTTTGTAAGAATCTGCTCGTAAAGTAAGAAGCCAACCCAGGTCACTGCTTGTGGAAGAAACAGTATGATATGTTGTTAAAATATAGTGAGATAAAAACATAAAGGTGTCACATAAAAATGCTTTCATATGTCAGGGATGAGAAAGGGTTCACTGTCAGCGTTGATTTCAACTTAACACCAGTAACCATGGTAGAAAAAAAGTGCAGCCAAGCTAACAGCTACGTGAAGCTGTACTTGGACACAAGTGGTTGTGTTGAGCTAAATAGAAACATCAGCATGCTCACAATGTTGAGAACATTTTCTCATACTGCCTGTGCTGCAGCACCTCTTTTCACCCTCTGTCTGAAACCAGAGGCCAGTCTTCTCTGATTGGTTAGCTGGCCAGCTCTGTTGTGATTAGTCAACAGCTTATAGATGTTTTAAAGGAAGAACAAAAAATACAAATAATAACACTTAATGAATGTGTTGTTTTAACTACCACTTAGTGTTTTGAAAATAACTAACTTTATATATTGGATTCTTTATTTATATAGATATATAGCTATATAACTACCTGTATTACTCTTTCTACAAGTATCTTTTTCTAAGTTATATATTCCTAGAAACTCAATATCCTTTTGTTTTTTACTGCTGGTCTAAAGGCAAAAAAAGACATTTGACACCCTCATTTATTTTTTAATTCCTGCTGAATATTTCTCGATTTCCTGACATTTAATTAACTAAACAGCTAGAGCTAGCTAGAAAGAAAAGAGGAGACATTACATTACATTTTATGACATGTTACTTGTTAGACGCTATTATCCAAAGCGACTTACATACTCAATACTGTGGACAATCCCCACAGGAGCAATTTGGGGTGAAGTGTCTCAGGGACACAATGACATGCTGACTGCAGTGGGGTTTGAACCTGTGACCCCCTGATCCGAACACCAACGCACAACCCACTGCACCACACGCCTCCATCCAGGAGACAAAGATAAGCTTGAACTTCAGCAAGAAGAGCTTGAGTGACCAAGAAGTAGACATTTACAGAAAAGGATCCTCCCTTAAAAAGAGCTCTGAGTTCACATAGAGGTCACTAGGCCAAAAACATCTAGCAGTTAAACACGTCTTCACTTTTGTGGCTATACGATGACACACATCTGCATATAGCTACACATTTACAGAGTCGTGTGCTTGAAATGCACACTGGGAAAATCATTTGAAGAGTCTAACAAATGTCTGCACAGCAGTAATGTCTGCAGCCTGCTGTGTGTGTTTACCTGAAGCCAGGAGGACATGAGTCACTACCAGAAAACAGAACAATGAGGCTATAATGGAGAAAAAGCAGAATTGGGGCTGAAAGGTCAACCCACAATTTGACTAAGTTGGGAAACAACTTCATGAGACGGATCAAAGCAGACAGCCAGACTGGCAGTAACGCCTAATCTCTGTCAACATGAAGGTTATGAAAAACATTTCAGCTGGCCATTATTCCTGTCCTTCCTCCAATCCTCATTTTCTGCCATTCTGTGTTTGCACAGGAGCTGTCATCCTCATGACCTTTGACCCTGACAAGTTCAATGAAGTAGGAGTGCCTGTTATGCCTACAGAACGAAAAACACACACAAATGCCAAATCCTCAGAGAAAAATCCTCATGTATCTCCAGTATCCAGAGCAGCAAAGAGCTAATCTACATTATCTCACGATGTCAGGGCTCATGCCGTTTTAAATCCATCATCACTGTCCATTAGGAGAATGATGATCTTTCTTTAAGCCAGGTTTTTGAAATGGTGGGAAATTGCTTAATGACTCATTGACAGCACACAGATGATGACTGATAAAAAAGGAAAACAATATGTGTTTCACATATTTAGTGTGGGAATATTGTTGTGAAATTAAGTCGTTTTGGCCTGTCCAAATTTGGGTCAAAGGAAAATTCCTCCCTCTGGTACGTTTAACATAAAACCACTGCTCATATGCTTGGTAATGTGAATTATTGTACATTTCTCGGAAAGTGTTGCAGATTTCTGTACAAAACTACCACTTATTACAACTGCATAGTTCTTTCCAATAATATCCCAGTTATATTATACATATATTTGTAGTATTGCTGTTGTATTTGTTTTTCTTCTATTCCATTTCTATTTGTCTCTTGTCTTCTACTATGTTTATGTTATACACCAATACCCCAAAGCAAATTATTTGTATGTGAAACATTACAATGCAATTGTCTTTCAACTTCAACAACAGTGATTCAGATCATCCTTTGACAGAAGAAGCCTAGATAGATGTAGAAGTATCAGGTAATCCTTGATAGACACGGACATAATCATTACTTTTAGCAATCAGAAATGCATCCATTACTTAAAATTACGCTTTTTTACATCTATTTAGCTACTTTAAGTGTATTTAACAGTTTATCCACACTTTTAGTGGTTTATCTTAACACATTTCTCCTTTCATCACCATTTATAAATGTTTAGCTATTAGTGTGTAAGTGTAGTTCGGTTACTCTTATCTAACTTGAACCGTGAATCGATTTATTTAAGCTAAACACTAACACTGTCTACGCATTACTTTAAGCTATAGATTTCAAATATGAATCCCTGGCGTAAAGCTTACTCGTTAAACGTCTCTGCATGCTTGATAACTAATCATTTTGCACTCTTTATGTGGAAATATATTGTTGTTGTTTTTCTTTTTAATTAACCTGTTAAGCCCTGAGCCTGTTTTTCAGGTCTCAGGCTCGAAAATGACATTCCCAGAACAAATGACCATATCTTCCCTTCTAAAAGAGTTAAATTAATAATCTTTTTTCTCAAAGTAATGATAAACCTGTGAGTTGGATGTAGAAAAGTCAGAATCAATATAGATGTTTTTTATTTTAAAGAAAATTCAGATTTTACATAGCAAAAAACTGTAAATTATAGTGTCCGTCCAAAAATAATTGTTTACTTATAGTGAAAACCACCCTTGGATGATGGGTTAGTAGACTAAAAGCTTTAGGAATCCAAAGTACAACATATAATAAGTACCCTGTATCAAGATTGATGCAAAACAAGTGACATTTGACCTTTTTAGAGAGATTTAGCAAAAAGAAACCACTTCTGGGGTCATTTGGGTGGATTTTCCATATCTCTGGCCCCCGTTGCTCGATTTTGATGGTTGACAACTCTTTCTGACCGTTAGAGCCAATAGAATCGAAGGGGTGTCCCCCACACACACTCATTGTGAAGAGAAGAGGTGGGGGCTTCGCGCATGTAATTTTGCATCAGAGTGGACCTATCTCTAGCTTTGACATCTGGAAACGGAAAAGCAGTTTTAATGCTTATGGATTATCAGAAATCATTTCAAAGGGACACAGACACATTAGATTAACCTATGGATTAACTTCAGCAGCGTTTTTATCGTTTTAATGCCATTGAAGACCACTTTGGAGAGACTACAGAGCCAAGGTAAAAATGTTAGCATTTTTAGCTACCTAGCGTCACCTGTTTTGATGTCCGTTTTTGCTTATAACGTCGCAAATACGTATAATTCAGTGGTAATGTCGGTGTCGTTAGATTTTGTGTCACCTCACGATGTGAAAGGATGTGTTGGATGTGGTGAAAAGATAAATAATAAGGTTTTGTGAGTGATTTTCGGTGCAGTAAGGTGTTAGCATTTTTTGCTCGTTGCTAATTCAGAGGCTCAGTGTTAGCATTGTGGGTTTTCTTTTGAAAAATAAATAAAAATGATCAGTTAGATGAGTTTTTTCCCGTTACATGGATATAAAACATTCATAGTTTTATTAAATGAACATGCCCTCAGACACTGTTTCCTGCAAGATGTTGCGGCAGTACCCCGGTACCGGGGTCTCTCGGGCTTAACAGGTTAAAAGTAGGATTACTAGCTTTTCAAATGAGTTGAACTACTCTATCATTTTTAAGTCCTGGGACAAAAGTATCTCTAGAGGAAAATTATATTTCTCCTTATATTGATGCCTATAAGTTTGAAATGTGTGTGTGCATGTAAAATAACCACAATGAATAGCATTCTCCTTATTTTCTAGTTGAGAGGGGGGCCACAAAGCGTTGAGCTGCTATGTCTGGCTCGTCCTGTAAGAGTGTGTGGAGAACGGAGAGGGTGAAGAAAACACCCTGATGGTCTGAAACAGCACCATCGCTGACCTGCGGCCCAACACAAAACACACCCCGGGGACTGTGGAACGGCTGCGGAAGCTGGCAGGAGGAAAAGCTGCTTTCCACACCATGACCTCAAAACACAGTCAGCGCCCCATGAGGCAGCCCGCCACTGATCGGTGACCCGTGTCCATACAAAACACTACCATTCACCATCCTTCAGCCCCAGCACATAACATTGCTCTTCTCTGTGCTGGACGCCCTCAGTTAGCAAACCACATGAGGTTCAACTGACGCAGTGCACACAAATCATTG